GTGCTGAGATCATTTTAGGAAGAAAAAAAAGGCAGGACCTATAAAACCGATCCGAGTTCAAGATGTTTGGCAAAAACACAAATCATACATTCAGTAGATGACTCCAGCTATTATCTTTGCAGAAGGGCCTGGGGTCAAATGTCAGTTATGTTACAACTTTGCAGGTAAAGTCAGGTAAAAACAGATTCACTCATTCACAAGGACATAATTGCATGTGCTATCCCACAAAGTACAATACTACAAGACTCAAACTAACAGCATATGAAAACTGATCACACAAAACATATTTTATAATATGTTATCTAAAGCTGTTTTAGCAGCACTTTGGCAACGGAAGTAGTTAGATTCAAACATTCGGCAATTCCGGTGCTTTTATAGTGTTGGAAATGCAGACACTAAAAACTTCTCTTGTTCAAGTGCTTTGGATGAATTATTTCCTTTGAAATGTCCTGCACTCTATCTTATGAATAAAGAGATACCACAAGGCTACATTTCCCCTGCAGCTGCGCAATACGTTTTCAAATGTCAATGTATTAATGTGAATGTAACAATGTAACATATTAACTATATGTAAGATGGAGACACATATTTCCAATAGTCAGTGAAGGCCGCATCAGTTGCTCCAGTTGGGACACGCCTCGGCTGCTGCAGTAGTGGGACAGTGGTGTGGCATTTTAAAGTTTATTTTCTCCAAAATGGGTAAGATAGGTTTGATCTCGATTGTAATAGCTGCCTTAGCGTTGGTGCTCGGTCAGAGGATCCTAAACCTAAGGTACGATGCAAAGCAACTCCGTTAATGTCGAAATGTTTCGGAGTTTGTTACGATGTTTTTAGCATGGAAGTTTACGGTTTTTATTTACCACCTGACCAAGGCTAACGTTTGCTTTATAACATTGCAGGAAAAGGACCTTCGCTTCAAGGGAGTTGGCCCAAAAGCACCTCCCCAACTGTGTCTTACTTAAACATATAGGTAAGTTATACCATAAGAAAATGTAGCAACATTTTTTATACAAAAATAAGCAAAAGTTAACAGTGCAACTCTCGGTACTTTACTTTCAGATCATGGCTCAGAGGATATAACGATCACTGGGGACGGGCTGGCGTTTATCAGCAGTGTAAGTATGTGAATTGCAGCCTTGTCAACAAAAAAGCCCTCTGACCAGACTCTCTAACAAAATGTCAGTCATCAGAACCGTTAACACGTGTGACATAATCTTATTGTTTTAATGTCAAATGTTCAAGCTTTTGAATAGCCTCCATGACATGCATTGTTATTCATTAGTGATGCAACACACCATTATTTTCATAAGCGATTAAAATGCCAAACTTATCCTCGAATCATATATACATAATTGAGTCTATAAAATGTAAGGATATCGTGAAACATTTCCATCACAGTCTCGAAGAGTTGGTTTGCAATTTGTCTACTCAACAGCCCATAACAAAGATATTCAATTCACATGACAAAAAAAAGTTAGTTCATATTGAGTTTACCCACACAAACAAACAGAATCATTACACTGGTAAGCCATGGCTACACAAGGACAAAGCAGTGAAGCAATGCAGTATTTTTCCCATCACACTTTCAATAACAATCACCTGCTCTATCAGGGATTCTCTTAAATATAGGATACATGGCTAGCATTTCTTAAACTGCAGAAATTTGTTATTTAGGACAAACCATTTTTATATAAGAGTTAGGCCTTAAAATGTGACCCGAAGCCGGACTTTTTCACCTTTTCCAACACTGCATAATATCATATTTATATATATTTTAAGGGCCTGAAGTATCCCGGACTTCCATCCACAGATGCGACAGGAAAGATCTTCTGTCTTGATATGACAAATCCTCGGATGAAACCAGTGGAGCTGCGCATGCCAAGAAACTTTGATCTGGAGTCATTCAACCCTCATGGCATCAGTTTATACACCGATCCCAGTGGTAAAAGCACTATGTGTGATTGTACACTTGCCACACAAACAAGTCTCTACAAGAAAGTCCCTTAAGGGCAAACGGTGGCTTTCTACTGCCTTTGAATCCAGATTCAACAACATTCATATTATCAACAGGTACACATTAAAGGTAGGTAAGTTTGAGAAACCGGCTCGAGATACACTTTTTGTTATATTCCATGGAATGCTCTTAACATCCCGATAGCAATGAATATCTTAAGTGCTTTGACAAAAAATCCATAAAAAAAATGTCATCTGTGAAAGCCGTAATACTGTAAAAAGTACGACCAATCATTTTAGCCGGCCCGGCTAAAATAACTGGATGGCCTACCTGCCTGTCAGCCTTCCATCTGTGCACAAACTTATCTCGTGCCCTCATTGGTCATGTGCGAGTTCGTGTGTGTTGGAGGAGGGGCTCTATAAGGAAGTGGCAGATTTTCTCCGGTTGTGTATTTTCAAATTCTAGCGATCTCGAGCCGGTTTCTCAAACTTACCTACCCTACCTTTAATAGCACACTTTTAAATAAATTTTAAGATAGTAAAATAAGTACAGTTCAGCTGCCTGAAAAACTACAAAGAACAGATTGTATTTAGTTGCTTGACATTATGTTGTGATTTGTAAGGAATATCTAGAGATGTGATTCTGATTCATTTCTAAAATAAGGGTAGTCTTAAGCCATGCTTGTCCCTCTACTTTTACACACATACTCACTCACACTTTTAAGTTTGGTTGCCTGCTTTTTTATTTACAATGCTTTCTTGTTTCTCATCAGATGACGCAATATACCTGTTTGTCGTTAATCATCCTGAACACAAAAGCCAAGTAGAAATATTCCACTTTGTCAGGGACGACCACTCACTGGTGCATCTGAAAACCATAAAACATGAACTTCTCCACAGGTATGACATGAACTGCACTTAAAATGTACTGAATATGTAGATGAGGTCATTATGCAAAAACATTTGTCAAACTATCCTTAGTTATTATAACAGTTATTTAAAAACGTTATGAATTATTGTATATTTAAAAACTAAATTCTGTTCTGATTTTCTTTTCAAGTGTAAACGATATTGTGGCAGTGGGAGTGGAAAGCTTCTATGCGACCAATGATCACTACTTTACCAATGAATTACTTAAAACTTTGGTGGAGATTCTTCTTCTTCAGCCCTGGACTAATGTTGTGTACTACAGTCCTGAGGAAGTGAAAGTGGTCTCTGAGGGATATTACTTTGCAAATGGCATTAATATCTCACCAGACAAAAGGTAAGACTTATATCCTGGGCTATGCATTTGGTCATTCATGCTTTCAATGGCTTGCTTTCTTAATTTAATATTATTTTTTATTTGTAGGCATGTATATGTGGTAGATCTATTTGACCACAATGTGCACGTGTTGGAGCGGAAAGAAGACAATGCATTGGTCCAAGTGAAGGTAAAATATTAAAGTTTTTCCCACTGATCAATTATTATCATCAAATACTATTTGTTTTTGCTATTATTAGACCAAGACACTTGTGCTTTAGTTTTTAGTAAAAATGTTGACAAATCAAACAGTAATGCTAATTGTAATGAATGCTCAGCTCTAGTTCATAGTACATTCAGAATGTATTGGGGCCACCAACAGATTTTCATTTAAACTGTCTTTACTTTGAAATACAAGTAACAGGAGTCAGATATAGAAATGATTCTTCATGTAACATGATTTAAGAGCTGCATAAAACCACGCACACTGATGCTAAACAATAAAGGAGAGAAGTCCAAAATCAAATTGATTTGAAGATAAATTAGTTATTGAAGGATATATGACACCAAGATGCATTATTAATCCTAACCTTGTCTATGATACTCCACCAGGCTGTGGCTGTGGGTTCACTTTGTGACAACGTAGAAGTGGACGCTGTAACTGGTGACCTGTGGTTAGGCTGTCATCCTAATGCAATGAAAGCTCTGAGGTTTGACCCAACAGACCCGCCTGGATCGGAGGTTTGTACATTCACTTTGACTAGAAAGTACATTATGCCTGACAACATTACAAGAACAGAAAAAAATACTCTCATTACCTAAACAGCAGATCCGTCTATTCACACATATTCATCTCGTTTAATTTCTTTCTTTCTCATGATTTTGTTTTATTCAGGTAATTCAAATCAAGAACATTCATTCAGATCAGCCAGTGGTGACTCAGGTGTACGAGGACGACGGCAATGTGATCATGGGCTCCTCTGTAGCAGCTACCTATGGGAAAAAGTTGCTCATTGGAACAGTTTTCCATAAAACCTTGTGCTGTGATTTGGAGTAGGCCGAAGATCAACTAGCTAAGATGTAGCTAAGATACATTAATTGTGTTTACATGATTTTATAGCAATGAGCACTGGGTAAGCATGTTTAAAAGTAGACACAAAACCAAAATTACTGAACGTCCCAGATACTCGTATTACTGTGAAAAGGTATTTGGAAAACAATATATTGTAAATCAAACTTAACTTTCTTTTTTTTACATTTGCTTACCTCTCTATCATGAAAATTATATTTAACCCGGGTCACCTAACTGCACACAAATGCACTGTATGTTACCGACTGCTTTCATATTTGTTAATGTTTTGTATATTTGAATAAAGAGATTAATGATACAATCCATATGACAGTCATGCTTCAACTTTAGTTTTCTTTGTGGTTCAATAAATGCGCAGTGTGAAGAAAAAAGGTTTTGCAACACCGTTTCCAGACAAAGTACTGTGCACAAAATCACTGTATATCAATCAGCAAGATTAAATTATGGTTAATAAACAGTATTTTCATTGTTTTTTGTAAAAACCCATGTAGTTCTACCACCCACAAGAAAGTCAGGTCTTTAAAGCATTCACTAATAACTTACTTTTCAAGCCTCTACTTTTTATTTAGATTTTCAAAGTAATTATTTTCAATGCTATAAATTTGGTGTCTGATAAAATTCAAATACTTCTGTCTCTTGTTTGCTTCCATACTTTGGTGTGTCTATGTAATTGCACCCTGCACCTCTTCCTGTGTGACCTTTATATGCACAGAGAGTCTGTTTGCAATCCTGGCAGCCATGAAGAAAGTACTGGCTGCTGTTGTTGCTGCCTTTGCAGCTTTCATTGGATACAAATTCCTTAAACTAAAGTAAGTACTTTTTAATTTTGATTAGAGACCACATTTGGAGGTATAATAGAGGTTTAGTTGTACTTATTTCCAATGTTGACAACTGTTGCTTAATCCAGAAAGAAAAGATCAATCAGGAAGGGAAAATCTGTAACCAAGCCCTGCTAGACTTGCAGATTCTGCTTTGTTTGCCTATGAAAAGCTTTGTCATTTTTAACTTTTCTCTGCAGTGAAATGATGCTTGCTTCAAGGGAAATGCCTGTGAAACACCTCAACTGTCAATATTTGAAGAATATTGGTAAGATAACTTTATTTGAATTTCATTGTCTTAATTTGGACATTTACACGGTCAGAAATGTTCTGTTTAAATGCATTTCCGTACTTAGACAGCTTGTATGCCAAATGTGAGCATACATAAAGAGTTTAAAGTCCCAGTTTCCTGCAGTAGGTCAAGTGTCAGCTGTAATGCCAGGGTTGTAAAATTAAATCAGTGAAAAAGATAACACATTTTATTTTGTTTTGTGCAGAATATGGGGCAGAGGATATCACAATACTGAAAGACGGTCTGGCCTTTCTAAGCACAGTAGGTTATCAAAATTGTAGCTTTGTTGCATGAATCTTAAACACTGCATATACTCAAGTTTGCTTTAAGAAATGTGAAAGCATAGGTCAACTTTCTTAACAAAGGTTATGAATACCAGTTTGTTTGCATATTTCTTTAAGTAAATACCTACTCAGGAAAAATGTCCGCTCTGCACCAACATCTTACATGCTGTGTTTTCACTCAGGGGTTGAAATATCCTGGACTTCCTTCGTTCTCCGATGAACCAGGGAAGATTTACATTTTAGATTTGCTGCACCCGAAGCCAACTCCAGTCGAGCTGCAGATCAAAGGAGAGCTGGACCTAAACTCTTTCAACCCACATGGCATTAGTGTATACACTGATGAAGCAGGTAAAGCACAAATCATGTGCAAAATCTTACAAAAAATTTAATAAATGATGTGCATGAAATGATCAGAACTGTCAAATCAATGTTAACATTAAGGTTGAGCTTTCATCATCTCTCATTTGTAAATTCATATCCTATGATTTTATCTAAGTGGAAAATGTTGCAAAAAAAGCTAAAGAAGACAGGAAAAACTATCAAAAAGACACAAATTAGAAGAGACAAATAAAGTACCAGTTCTTCACTTCAAAGATGTCCTTAGGGTACTGTTGTTATGACAAGCATTCATCTAATGCTAACCAAGTGAAATGGACTGAAAGTGAGTCTCAGGTATTCTGTTTGTTCTGTTCAAGAACATTAAAGGCAACATGAAATAGTGTATAAAAAAACTGTTAGTTTTATAATGATGTATATTACATTCAATGCTCTGGAGGACCCTTTTGTCGTTTCATTGTATGCAATGTTTAAAAAAAAAAGAAAAAGGAAAGGAAATACAGTTTGTCAAGGAGCTTAATACTAGCTGCTTAGCTTTTACCAAAGGTTTTTGACTTGAGATGGAAATTAGCAAACTCCTATAATCTTGTACAAAGCATCTTATCTCTTTGAGATGTATGTTCTTTTTGTACATGGTCCCTGCCAACTGAACCATTAAACTAAACTTAGCATAGTTGCAAATTGGACGTTTCTTTACTTATTTTCATGAATTAAAACCAGATTTCTGTGGCTATTTTAATCCTGCATTTCTCCTGCAATAATAGTTTAATGCATTCATTTAGTAAATTGTTTTTATACATTTCTTTTGGTAGTAGTGGAGACTGCCATTCAGAAGGGTTAAACTGTACACCAGGGGATTTGATTAGCAGGAATGCAGTATGTAATCCAGTGATACTATTTGTACTTTGATCTTATTGGTTTTACACTTAACTGTTCACTCCTTATCAGAGCTGCCTTTAGTCCCGGCCTTTAAGTAACCCAACATTCCACACTGTTGTTGTCTCACATTAAAAGACTGGACGAATACCTTTTATTTTGAAGCAGCCACAAGAAACTCTCCTCAGTTGACTGTAATCGTTAATCAGAAATCTGTCTATAAAACCTTTTCTGGAATCTGTGGTGTTAAACCCTGCTACTGTGTTCATAATAACCTCAAGTGTCACTAAATCATATGACGGAAATGTTAAGCTTCATTTTTTGTACTTAATTTCAGCATTCTGTGAGGTCAGAAATAAATGGAAATTGTTGCACTGTAAAAGTAAAAGAGGGAAGTAATGACAACACATTTCTGTTTGTTTGCAGATGACTCTGTTTACCTGTTTGTTGTCAATCACCCGGAACACAAAAGCCAAGTTGAGATCTTTCATCTTGTTCAGGAAGACACACTTGTGCACTTAAAAACTATAGCCCACCCCCTACTCCACAGGTATGTACTGTGCGATCAATCTTTAACAGTATCACACCTTTTACATTTGACAATCTATTGAAGCGTTTTATCTCATTAATTGTGTCTTTCAGTGTAAATGACATTCTTGCAGTCGGAAAAGAGAGCTTCTACGCCACAAATGATCACTACTTTGCCAGTGATGTGCTCCACTTTTTGACTCTCATCCTGGATTACCCCATGTGTGAGGTGATCTATTACAGCCCTGAGGAAGTGAAGGTGGCAGCCAATGGCTTTCTGGCTGCAAATGGCATCAACATATCACCTGACAAACGGTTATTCTCAATTCATCTCAGCAGTCACTGCATCTGCTTGTTTTTAAAACTGAATGTATTTCCACAGCAATATGTTCCCTTTGCAAAGCTAAAATAATAAAACATGAATATTTTCTGTTGCGCAGGTATATTTATGTTTCAGATATTGTTGGCCATGACATCAAGGTTTATGAAAGACAACAAGGGGAACAATTAAGGTTTCTAAAGGTAATACAGTGTTTTCTTTTTTTCTATTGAAAACAATTAGATGAAATGTTCATTTTTGGAAATACTCTAATTTGTGTCTTACTGATAGTAGACCCATACTACAGCTAGCAGCCTTTTAGCTAAGCTTAATATTAAAACTAGAACTCTCCCAGTAAAACCTTAAATTGTTAAAATGTTGTACCCCTTCGCTTTGGACATGTTAGTATTAGTAAGTGGATTTTGTGTTGGGCTTGCTCTTTCCAGTTTTTAGTAGTTTCCATCTTTACATATTACTTCTAGCAAGAAAGTAATTAAAGTGCATATCCAAAAATTAACTTTAACTGTGCTTGTATTGTAACATAATCCTTAAAAACATTATTTATACATCCACATTCCTCCCTTTGTATCTGTATTTCAGGAGGATGGATATTTAATGATCAATGAATTGTTTGTGATGTTTCCAACCAGTCTGTAGCTGTTGGGTCACTGTGTGATAACATCGAGGTGGACCACAGAACAGGTGACATTTGGCTTGGTTGTCATCCAAATGGGCAGAAGTTGGCGAAGTATGACCCTGAAGATTTGGCCGGCTCTGAGGTAAGATGTCCTTTTTGTTTTTTGTTGTTTTTATGTGTAACCAATGTACCGCAGGTCTCCCTTGAAAAAGAAATCGTTGATCTCAATGGGATTTTTCACCTGGTTAAATAAAGGCTACAAACAAGTGGGCATATGTTTAGCTTTTTAATCAAACAATATTTTAGCATTTTTATTTGAATTTGCCTTATCATTTTTAATTCTGTTTCTTCCAGGTCATCCGGATCAAGAACATTCTCTCAGAGAAACCAGTGATGAGCCTGGAGTACGGTGATGACGGCCATGTGCTCGTCGGCTCCAGTGTAGCAGCTCCCTTTGAGGGAAAGTTGCTAATTGGATCTGTTTTCCACAAAGCCCTGTATTGTGATTTAAAATAATTTGTCTACTTTGTATCTAATGATTTTTAAGGAAATTAATGTTGTAAGAAAGGATTTGGATGGACATGGGATACAAAAATAAAATCTTGATTCACAATTTGCAAAATGGTTTTATTTTACCTAACACAGACACTGGCTCGTTGTGAAGAAAGAAACCGTATAACATTAAGTATAATTTTCACAAAATGCAGTTTGTTTCGTGATACAGGACAGTATTTTTTATAATTTTATAGTATGGTCTTTTGAACAACACAGACTGATTGATTCCACAATAATGTTAAAGGTATAAGAAGTTATGAGAAAATATATTTTATCCTTTTTCTTCTTTGTCCATAACCTAATTTTCCTCTACTACCTTAGCTATTGTAAATCTAGTCCCTCCACCATGAGGATGCTGCACAATTTCCTCTTCCGTAGTATTTGTCAAGGGTATAGTGAAGAATATGCCATCACCTTCTAATGCACAACTTTCCTCCTCCTTATCTGCACTCACACATTGTGCAGGTTCAGTTTCTCTGTTGCCATCTTGTATTAAAGGACGCGCTTCGTGTTTGCTTTTGTCCACAACAGCAATAGCATTTATGAACACTTCACTGATGCTCAGCATGCGTCTGTGACGTGGCGAGTGATCCAGGGTCTGGATGTTGTTGGCCAAGATGTCGCTGCAGCTCTTAGAGCGATTTATGTTGTATGCAGGCAGTGTTTTATTTGCTGTGGTTCCAATTCCCTTGATGACAGTGCTGTAGTCTTCCTCCTCCTCTGATAGGAAGTTAAAGATGTCAATAACAGAGCGCTTTAATTCTGGATTGTGCTTCTCCTCGACAGGCTCGGGTTCCAGATCATAGAAGTGTCGGTGCCTGTGCCTTCTTTTCTTAAACACTTTGTGAGCTTTCACTACCATGTGGACATTCCAGCTGAAGAATAGAGACAGCCAGGCCAGGCCCATGTAGATCCATAACTCTGCAAACACTCTGTACAGCCTGGGATATTCTATGTTTGGATTTACACCTGAAATGAGAGCCAGTGGACATTTTTTTCATAGGACTTAACAAACCAAAACGTTTAGAACCACAAATAACCTCAGAGAAACCTTAACTTAAATGAAAACGTACATTATGCTAACGTAAACCTACCTGCCACATAATCTCCAAAACCAACTGTTGTGAGTGTGATAAAAGAGAAGTAAAGGCCCTCCAGGTAGCTCCATCCTTCAATAGACATAAAAACAAATGGAGGGATCACCAGGTGCACGACCAGCCCCCATAATAGGAATAAGGCTGTGCAGGTGAATTGGACCTTTTTCTAATGGAAGGGAGAAAAAAACACATTAGATCTTCATGTTAAAATAACACAATATAACACCCTTTTATTAACAGTGTTCAGAAAAACCCCAACTCCAGCTTTCATTTAAATTCTTACCACTGAAACCTTTTTGTGGATTAAAACCTGGGACAGACGTTTGGCCCGGTCTCCAAAGAATGAACCCAGCTGGCTTATCCATACCAGACACAGGGGGATCCCACACAGACCATACAGGATGCAGAACACACGACCACCTTGAGTCTTAGGAGCAACATTACCATAACCTGTGGAATACAGGAGTTAATATTAACACACACATCTAGACTTCATTAATGGTTAGGTCATTTGTCAATCATTTACAGATGGGAAATAAAGCATTAAGGATACAATTATAAAATGGGGGTTGTCAGGTTAAAAGAAAAATGCCTACTTGGTATCCTTCTTTAGTGTTTTTAATTAGCTTAGTATTCATTTTGCAGGAAGATCACAGTTTGATCATTTGCAAATAATTACAGCACAATAGTGTCATTGTCTTGATGTTAGTAATTCATTAATCAGGGCTAATGTTTTCTCAATTCCTGATAAATCTTCAAGACAATTTCAAGAGTTGACAAAGGTTTTGGGGTGTTTATGACTTATGTTCACAATACCTTACCTCACCACACAGTATTAAGAATTATGGAAGTATTACATGTTGTCTGTCTTTATGTGTTGCATTAAGATCGACTAATACACTTCTCTCTGGCACATAAAGTGAGTTAATAAATAAATAATGCGAGGTGTATACAATACTTATTCTGTTGCCAAATATTTAATATTTAACTGCTTTTAGTGCAATATGTTTACATAAAACAAGGATTCGTTTTTTTTTATCAAATACTGTCAGTGTCATACAAACCTATGGTGGTGACAATGGTGGCAGCAAAGATGACAGAGTTACCCCAGTCCCAGGTGTTCCGCTGTTTGTCCCCAGTTATGGTCACACCTTGGCCTGCAGCATCTGACACTATCTGAGACAGTTGACACAGCAACTACTTTAACTTAAGAACACCATAAACAAACTTATTGAAAACGTTTACAATGGCTTATTCAAAAATATCAACTTCACAAATTCCGAGCTGCATTAAAGCGGACACACCCTTAACAAACATTCAAATATGTGTGGAGGAGAAAGACATGCTCATTCACGCTCACTGTGCTGTTTAAAACCAAGAGTGCTCGCAAAAATGTCCTGTGAAATTCGGCTTTAACACAAATGAACATGACATGAAAAACATTGAAGTGGTTTTATAGTTAGGCTACAGGTTGCTTTGGCCAGCATACGGTTGTTTTGTTGTTAAATCAGGTAAAACAGGTTCTGGTGTGTCCTGACATGTAAATTCGAAAAGCTTCTCTTTCACCCCTCAAGGCTAAATAAAAGGTCTAATATGGCAAATTAAGCTGTTAACATCTGTGATTTGTTCACATGTATTGTATTTGATATCTTAATGTGACTAACAAAAGCATAGGCTACATGCTTTCAACTATACATGTATAGTTGGTCAATCACCGCGAAAAGTTACGTACACATTTGCCTACTTATCTCAGTCATGTTAATCTCCTGTCATAAACTGCTATTAAAACACGTTTCATACCTCCAAAATCTCATCCAGACTTTCCGCTGTTAAGCAGGTATATTTCTTCAAAATGATTTTCTTTTGTTCGATATACTCGTCTCTGGCTGTTTTCCAGTTTGGCTCTTCGAGAATTTGAAATATTGCAGCCCCGATCGATAAGTAGAAAATGATACATGAAGTTAAAAACGGACCCTTATCTGCCATATTAAAGTCATAACTTCAGTCTATACGTCGTAGTGTAGTTTCCTGAGAGGACTGCCCTTATCCTACCCGCTCAGCTTTCTTCCTGGTACAACATAAAGCATTACGCTCATACAAACTCAGATCCATTGTCCAGAAACATCATTTCATCAGATGGATTGATTTATAGACTTATATAATGTATATGATCATATTCCTATTGATAAAAAAAAACAGTGGAGAAATGCAAAAACTATGGAAATAGCTTAAAGGGTGTCCACATTTCCAAGCAGGTGACAAATTGTTTTTGTGGATGCCAAATCAGCATATTCCCCCCTTATTTTCAGTATATAATGAACAGTCTTATTAACACATCATTATGTATAAAATAAAAATGCAAGTATTCAACCCAGTGGCGTAGCCACCATAGGGCCAGGGCGGGCCCAGGCCCGCCCAGTTTACTCATTGGCCCGCCCTGAGAAAACTTCGGTGTATTTTATTTTATTTTAATTATTATTATACATTTTTGTATTCACCCATTGAGAATATCCAAGCATTCAAAGTGAAATTCAAGTGAACAAATATCGAGTTGAATTAATGTTGTATTGTAGTGACCACTATTTAACTAGGGTACATAATTCACACATGGAACTACAGGTTGGGGGTATTGTTTCCGCCCGGACATATATGTTGACGGTACCTCCGGGGTACCTACAGTGTGTGTGTCCCTTTCACTTTCTCTTACTCTTCTCGGCTCGACCCGACAGCATGTCGATTTCTGCTCCTCAATAAAGCCAGATTTGTACCTCCGATGCACCGCCTCCGACTCCCTTCTCTCGGCACTACATTGGTGACCCTGACATAAGTCTCGCGAAGGATCCGAGGCTGAATCGAACACGGCAAAAAGCGCAGCTTTTCTCGGAATGCCGGAGATTCTTGGAGATGTCCGTAGCTGCCACGTGCACATGGACTGTGGCTCGGTGCGCCCCGCGGAATGGCTGAGGACGTCGCTCGCCATTCCCGCTTCGTCTCGGCACTGGAAGGCAGCAAGCCTTCCTGCTACGAGGAGACGATGCACGACCTGCTAGGTATGGAGGAACCCGACTTCTACCTCGTGGGGCTGTTTCTTCGGGACATGCGGCTGCATGTCCAGGCTGCGCTAGCTAACACGGCTAGTGTTGAGCCCCACGCTTTGGCCGAAGAAGCTTGCCGGTTCTTCCTGGCCGCCCGGCGATTTACCCCTGAGGTGCTTGCCACTGCACGCTGCAGCGCCTTCCCTGGTGGGGGCACGCCGCCTAGCAGAGGCTCCGGGGCCGACGACGACGACAGCGACTACCGGCCGTCGAGAGCGGCTAGCCTCGACTGCTAACGACAGCTAGCCACGACAGCTAGCCACGACAGCTAACGGCTAGCTGCTACCAACGGCTAGCGACGACTACTAGCAACGGCTGACGATGACTAGCAGCTGCCAGCGGCTATTGACATCCGACTGTTTTTTTTTATTTTTGTTTTGTTTTTTGTGGTGCCGGGGAGGAGGTTCGATCACGTCTGGTCGGCCTCGTGTGGATCCTCACAATTTCGCCCACCTGTTTTTGATCGTGGACAGGACGACCTTTTGAGTTTTTTTTCTGGTGCCTGAGAGGAGGTTCGACCATGTCTGGTCGGCCTCGTGTGGACCCTCTCGCTGTTTCACCACCTCGACGGCGGTTTCGGACGTCACACACGCCTTCTTCGGCCCGTGGGTGGCGCGCTTCTGGACCCCGTCTCGCCTCTTCCCTCGCCTCGGCGGTTCCGGACGTCGCCCATGCCTTCATCGGCCCGTGGGTGGCGCGCTTCGGGACCCTGCCTGGCCTCACCTCTAACCGCGGCTCACGGTTCGCCTCGACGGCGCCCCGTCTGGCCTCTCCCCTGTCCACGGCTCCTTCCTCCCGAGGACTTCGTGCCCGCCGCCGCTGTGCCTTCGCCTGCGGCCGGGCAGCGCTCCTCCCTGCTGGGG